ATTATTATTTATAATTATCACATTTATTTATTTATTCGTACTTCATTGATACAATTAATTATTTATAACATAGCAGACATATTGAAGCACGATTGCATACTTTCTTAATTTGTCTTCTTAATTAACCATTTGTTATGGCGTGCTGAATAAATGGTAAAGTCATTATGCCCGCCTAAAAAGAGAAAAGAAATATATCAAATAATTAAATTTTAGTTTAGGACAAAGCAATATTTTACATCAACGTGAAATCAAAGTAATTTTGAATCAAAGTAATATTGAACTTACCAAAAGAGGTAGAGCGGGTAGAATAGCTTCAGCTTCTGCTAAAGCTTCTGCTGTAGCTTCTGCGAAAGCTTTAGCTTCAGCTTCGGCTTCAGCGTTGGCCAAAGGATTAGCTTCGGGCAAGGGACTAGCCCATGTCAGCGAGCCGCATAGGCCTATAACAATCACTGCGATGAACAAGAATTTCGGAACTTCCATTGTTATATTCTAACTGTCGTTTAATACTTTCGCTTTTATACCCTACGACTAACCGATTATTTCCAGGAAATATGTATATAGCTCAGATAAGAAATTATGAGATGTAGTTAAAAAGAGAAAGTTAGATATATTTTTTGTTACCTATAAATCTGCGATGTTTTATATTGATATATAAGATATCCTTGAAATAATGCGGGTTATCAGTTGCACATAAAACGCTGATTTGTAAAATTAAGAGTTAAAATGTTTATTAAAATAAAATTCATTATCCATATAAAGAAAATTTATGTATATGTTAATATAAAAATATATAGAGATATATACATCATAATATTGTATTAATTATTTAATTTGCAAAATTATCATACCCTTCCGAAATATAGGGTACAGCGGGGTAATTTGAACAGTGGGGAAATTTGAATAATAGTATAAGCATTTGCAAGAATTTCAGAAAAATAAGAAATGGTTTGTTTCATATTTGTGGTTAGCAACAAAGAGGATACTTTGATCTATATTCATATAATTGTTAAAGAATATCTGTTAATCTATAGATCTATATAATATTTTATATTAAGCAAGGTTAGTAGAGAACTTCTGTTGTAATTGTAGTTTATAAGAATATACTCTGCTATCTGAAGTTTTTATGGAATCTATACCTATCTATGAAAACAATATAATCTAAAAATGTCTCCTGTCTGTATTAAAAATTATCACGTCGACTAATGGCGCATTTTATTGAGTTGTTTTAATACTATATTACAATGTTTTTAAGTCGGTGTATGGGGAAATTTGAATAAATTTTTATGAGGCAATTTGGATAATTCAGTTCCCTAGAATATTTATATTTTAGCTGTTTTAAATTTCATTATATCAGACATTAAGCATTATTAAAAAAAAAATGCTCGATTGAATTGGAAAGAGAGCATAAAACAAGTCGTTAACGTTGCAGCTGTCATTGATGTGATCTCGATTTTAGATTAGAAGCTGCGCAATTATTTCATGTTCCATATACGAACTTGTACGAGAAAGTACAATCTAAACAAAAACAAATATAATGAAAATGATGTTCCTAGAACTTTTATTGGGCGTCTTGCTGTGTTTAGTAGCATTTTAGAAAACTTTAGAAAGAGTTAAATATCTCGAAGCCAGAGATTCTCTTACTAATTTCTGTTTAATTTTGTCTGAAAAGTGCAATTTAATATTTAAAACGCAATAGATAAATATAAAGTTTTGCTTTTATTATAATA